TGATATGGTCAAGATACAGAATACTTTCCTCACCACAATGATACCTAGGTTAGGGGAACAAAAGGTAGGAGACAATTGTGGCTATAAAAGAGCAATAGAATGGATGTTTGTGTTGATAGAACTGTTCTGTATGTTGACTATATCAATGTCAGTATTCTGGTTGTGATACTGTATGCTACCACAAAGAGTTACCATGGGAAGAAATACTGTAAAATGTACACTAATACCTAAGTCAGCTCATACATTTCTTCTGCATAATGACATCCTCTCCAAATAAAATCTGAAATTGAAATGGTCTACAAGACCTTCACTTTATGACTTCCTTTTTTCCCCTAGTCATCATCTTAATCAAGTATAACAACTCTGGTCTCCTTGCTCCTTGAGCATACCAAGCATTTTTTTCATCTCTGTGTCCTCCCACTTTTTATTTCCTTTTTCCATAATACTCTTTGTTGAAACAGACATGTAACTTCTTCCCTCACCTTTTAAAAATATTTGCTCAAATATTAACTTAGAGAGAGGTACCCAGACTACCTTATTCAAAATTTCAAAAAACTATTCTATTACTCCTCCCCATTAGCTTGCTTTATTTTTTAAAGTAACATTTACTATTCTAAAAATTCTCTATAATTTAATTAATTTTTAATGCAGTGTCTCATTCTGCTAGAAAATAAGCTCCACAAAGAAAAATATTTTTTTCTTTTTGTTCACTGCTATGTCACCAGCATCTAGAAGAGAGCCTGACAAATATTAGGTACTAAGGAAAAGTTCATGAATGCTAATTCATGCTTCACCTGGACTATTTTCAAGGCTGTTCTTAAGTTCAACATGTGTCACATCCTCAATTCATCCATTCTCACCATTGTTATTTTAAGAGCCACTGTGCGGACTCAGATGATTGCTATTGCTGATTGACACTCTCCACCTATAAGCGCTAGTTGTTGCTGCCACCATTTGGGAAAAACTTGTACGATGTCCACTTTCACAGATCTATTGTCTGTTCAAATGCTACTGGTGATCTTTGTAGTCTCATAACACAACTTAATGCTTTCCTGAGCCATTATCTGTACCATCACAGTGTGTTTTCAATATCATCATTTATTATAAACATCTCTTGATCTTAAGCTTCTGGAACTACAAGGAAATGACTTTTTCTCACATCCTTGTGCTGGTTTAGAAAGTTCTAACGGTAAATACACAGGGAAACTTTGTGCTATAAAACATTTATTTTTATGTTTAGTTATTTTTTTCTTCTAAGATACAAAGGTACTTCTTGGGAGTGGGGTCAATCAAAGTGGGTTCAATACTTTTGGACTAAGTATGCTTTAATGTTTTTGGAATGTGACATACTATACTAATAAATAACTTCTCTAACTTCAGTCAGTTACATGGTTGATTCATGATGCTAGATTCTATATTCTCCCATGTTGGATTTATTTGCAAGTCCCTGCAGTCTCTTCTATCATGCTTTTCCCATACTGTTCACCAGATGTGCCTCTACACAGATCTCATAAACCTTTAGTATGTAAATTCAAGTTCTTTCCTAGGAGATTAATTGCTTTTAATAAGGACCTTTGTCAAGGATGGCACTACTGAGGTTTAGTCAACACAGACTCAGTCTCCTCCACCTATCTTTCAGATATGTCTAGGAAAGAATTTATCTGACAAAGTGAAAGCAGGTTTAGTTTCATGAACTGGAGATGCTTTTTTCTCAGGAAGATTGTATTCTAGCTGTATAACAGAAAACAATTAATCCCTGAATTACTTTTTCAGCTGAATCTGGGAAAATATCATTGAGAAAACTACCACATAGATTTGAAGATTGGGTGGCCTTGTCAGGGAAAGCAGTTTTTTGGTACAATCAGTAGGTTCTAAGCCTAACTGCATTCCTGGCCTTTAAGTCTTCCTTTGAAAAATATTTTATCCTTATAGTAGTTAGAATTAGGATCTGCTGCCAGGAATAAAAAAATTTTGCAGTTATTTAAATAATTAAAAATGCATTTTTTCATGAAAGTGTCTGGAATTTCACATTTCAGGTGTAATATGGCAGCTCTGATCAATGAAATTATCAAGGACTTAAGCTCCTATAGTTTACTCTCTACTTTGCTGAGAGTGGCCCTCATTATTAAATCTAAAGTATCAACTGCATTCCAAGCAGCAGAACAGAAGATTGAAGAAAAAGGACAAAGTCCAAACTTCAGTACTTTATAAAGACAATTATTAGAAGCTATCACATGACATTTCTACTTCTATCTTGTTGGCCATAACTTAATCCCACATCACAAGTAAGGAGGATTGGAAATTATTCTATATTCTCAGCAGCTACCTTTCTAGCTAAAATTACTGATACTTGGTTCATTGAATCTAAGAGCTTGTGTCAGACTTAAGAAGAATAGATGTTAAGAGTGATCTCTGCTACCACCTTCTCAATTAAGCTAACTTTCAGTTACATATATATATATAGTCCAATCAGCATCTATGCATATCTGTGTGCATACATGTTTGTGTATTGGTGATAGCCTTTACAGGAGAGGTGGTATGAGGTGAGATCACAATAACAACATGGATTTCATTCTGCTTAATTTTGTTGTAAACCCAAAACTTGTCCAAAACTTAAAGAATACTAAAAAATAGAAAAGAAACATAAACTCGAATCATCAGACCTTAGATTTAAACCTGTTTTTCATCTCTTTGAACTGGAATTTTCCATGTATGACTCAGAAATAACACCAATTTTAGGGTTTACTGTAATTTTAATAACAACTGTTTGTATGAATGAATTAAGCACACGATTTACACATAGTAAGTTCATTAAAGATGTTTTTATTAGTATTTTACTATTATATATACACACACATGATTAGTCACATAAAAACTTACCCATATATCCATATGGAAGCTGTTCAAAGAATGGTTTCAAAATTGTTGTAGTATTGTATATTAATTTGCAAAGAGATAGTATGGCTTTCTGGAATGGCACTAAAGTCAGGAGAGCTGAGTTTTAAATCAGGTAAAATTGGGCAATTAACTTACTGTTTTTCTTCCTTCCTTTCCTCCCCTTCTCCTCCCCTCCGTCCCTCTCCCTTTCTTTCTTTGTATTGTGGTATCAAAGATTATGAGAGGTAATGGGGTTACATTAGTGAAAGTATAAAGTACTTCATCTTTATTATCCTTGGTCTCTAAATACCACTTGTTAGTAGCATGCACTTCATTCATTTATGATAGTAAAAATTATTTTCAGACAGTGTCAAATATCTCCTTAGGGGGAAATTGTCCCCAGTTATGAACAACTACTCAAACAATAAAATACTGAAAAAATAAATAATAAAGTTATTACCTCAAAATGTGAAATATTTAACAAAAATTGTATTAAATTTGACATGACCTTAAGGCAATTTTCCTTTCTAGTTTCCTGGTGTGTAAAATTATATAAACCAGTAATAACCATTTATAGTGGAATGACAAATGAAGGTAGGGAATTACAATTTTAAGTAAAAAGTCATTCTATAATTCTGAAATTGTTGTAAATTTTATAAGACTGCAATTGTTTTAAATAATCTGCTCTAAAGTAAATAATAAAACTGAATATCAGTTATATATATATATATCCCACCCTTAGGCCTTCTAAATGACTTCATCCAGTCATGTAACATCACAGCTTCTTAATATTCATTTTGAGCAAGGGAATGGAATTTTTGGTGGAAAATAGGCTTCAATTTTTGTCATTCTTGGAGGACTCCAAGAACATACATCTATTTTCATAAAAGGACTAATTGCATGCTCCTTATTTGTCATTCTTGAGCCTATAGCTCCACTTAGTGGCGAGTATGTTTCCTAGCAAAAGCAAGTTTAAGAGTAATTTTTTTCCTAAATCTAGCAGGACATAGATACTGTTTCTATCTCTTGATTTTATTACAAAACTCATTTAAAATAATTAAGTACAGCAGAATTATAATCCAAATATTAAAAAGTTGTAGTTTCATCTAATCTCGGGGAAAAATCAGCCCTGGCTAGTGTGCTCAGTGGATTGAATGCCAGTCTGAGAACCAAACGGTTGCTGGTTTGTTTCCCAGCAAAGGCACATGCCTGGGTTGTGGGCCAGGTCCCCAATAAAGGGTGAGTCAGAGGCAACCATACATTAATGTTTCTAACCCTCTCCTTCTCCTTCTCTCCCCAACTCTCTAAAAATAAAATCTTTAACAAAAATTAACCCCCTTCCCTTGACAGGAATTGCATGAGAGGCTGAAGCTCAAGTGTCCAGCTGAGGGGACTCCTTTTTTCCTCTGTACTTCCTGATTCTTCTCCAAAAGCAGCAATTAGACCAAGGAAGAGGAGTCAAGGGAAAGGAGACAACTAGTAATAGGATAAAGAAGCTTTTCAGTGAGGAAGATGGTGACATCCAGCCATGCCATAGACAGATTATTAAAATGTGTATTTTTGAGGGAATAAGTTTTTAAAATAAAGTAATAGTGTATTTATTTAAATAATATTATTTAAATAATTTAAATATTTTATTATTAAAATAATGCATGTACTTTGCAAACAATCCCCAAATTTTATATAATAAATAGAATGATATATAGTCTTATCTCTGTATACATAATTACTTTTAACATTTTTGGGTGTGTGCATGTGTGGTTTTTTAAAAAATATTTTATTTATTTATTTTTAGAGAGAGAGGAAGAGAGGGAGAAAGAGAGAGAGAAAAACATCAGTGTGTAGTTGCCTCTCATACGCCCCCTACTGGGGGACCTGGCCTGCAACCCAGGCATCTACCCTGACTAAGAGTTGACCACTGAAACTTTGGTTTGCGGGCTGGTACTCAATCCACTTAGCCACACCAGTCAGGGCTGTTTTTTTCCTATGCATAAGCTCAGAGTGAAAATACTTTTTGACTTGAAACAAAAACAATAGTTAAAGTTAAATAAAAGATTAATTTCCATTACGATTAAGGAATATACATCCGTTACTTATTTGGTGATTTTTTTTTCTTTTTTTCTCTGGGAAAAGCATGAACACAGTCCCCTACTACCACAAATTATGCACTCGAGTTTCCCATATTTGGTAAAATCGCAGGGAGCAGCACATCTGAAGTGTAATAGATAAGCCTCATCCTGGGAAAACCACCTTCATGATCACGGTATCTTCCCTGCCAGGTAAGTATGATTTATTTAGAAATGAAAAATACATGAGCATGAATAAAAATCCTAAGAGTTCAAAAATATAGAAAGTAAAAAATAGATATTTCACTTACTCATATACTATTTTTTCTTTTCTCAGAGGAATATCTATTAATGTTAAAGTTATGTAATATACTAGATAGTATAAATATGCTTTATATTTTTGATGGGGTATTTGATGCAGATTTACCATACTTTTTTAAACCAAGAGCTTACTGATGAAAATTCAGTGATTTAATACAACCAATCCCCTAACAAACATCCTTGTGCACATACCCGTGTACATATGTGAGTATATATGTGAGTATATATTTCTTTCCTTATCATTTCTTTCTTTTACCCACAAGAGTCACAATCAACTTGAAAATATGAAAAGACCAGAGCTGGACCCATAGAAGAGGCCTCCCAATAGTAGAGTCAGAGAGACAAATTGCACATTGTTGTAGGAGAGAAGCCACAAATTGCTGCATATTTGAGTAGGTGGAAGCAGAGAACAACAGGATAACCAAAAGAGGCTGCACCGTTGAAATTCACAGGCATTCCATCACAAAAGTTCATACCATAAACCCAGGGTGTCAAAACAGATTAATCTAAGAAGCTGAGGCTAACAAGAAGAGTCTCACAAACAATGGGAAGACAAAGAAACAATCCCCAAATGAAAGAAAAGGAGGAATCCTCAGAAAGAATATTAGATGAAATAGAGGCAAGTCAACTATCAGATATTGAATTCAAAGCACTGGTTATCAGGAAGTTCAAAGAGCTCACAATCAGCTACCAGAAACTACAGGGAAGCTACAATGATCTCACTGTGAACTATATCAACATGAAAAAGGAAATGGAAATTATTAGCAAGGGCCAAGAGAAAATGAAGAATACAATTTCTGAATTAAAAAACACAGTGGAAAGCATTAAAAATAGGGTGGATGAAACAGAAGATTGGATTAGTGAATTGGAGGACAAAGTAGAAAGCATCTCACAGAAAGAACAGGAAAGGGAAAAGAGGCTCAGAAAGAATGAAGAGAGATTAAGAGAAATGCAAGACAATATGAAATGTAATAATATCCAAATAATAGGAATACCAGAAGGAGAATAAGAAGAACAAGGGATAGAAAACATATTTGAAAGAGTAATGAGAGAAAATTTCCCTAATTTGACAAAAGGAAAAGTCACACAAATCAGGAATAACACAGAGTCCCATTCAAGAGGAACCCAAAGAGGCCCACTTCAAGACACATCATCATCGAAATGGCAAAATTCCAAAACAAAGAGAGAATCTTAAAGGCAGCAAGGGAGAAAAAAGAAATAACATACAAGGGCATCCCAATAAGGTTAGCCACTGACTTCTCAATGGAAACACTTCAAGCAAGAAGAGATTGGCAAGAAATATTCCAAGTAATGAGAACCAGAGACCTACAACGAAGGCTACTTGACCCAGCAAGTCTCTCAATCAAGATAGAAGGCCAAATAAAGAGCTTCCAAGACAATAGAAGTCTAAAAGAATTTGCTTCCACCAAGCTAGCTCTACAAGAAATACTAAAAGGTCTGCTTTAAGGAAAGGAAGGAAAAGAGACAGACAGAGAGGAACACAGGTACAAAAATGGCAATGAATAAGTGTCTATCAATAACAACCTTAAATGTAAATGGATTAAATGCTCCAATCAAAAGACACAGAATAGTGTCATGGAAAAGAAAGTATGACCCACACATATGCTGCCTACAAGAGACCCACCTCAGGACAAAAGACCATCACAGACTAAAAGTGAAAGGATGGAAACAAATTTTCCAAGCAAATGGACAAGAAAAAAAAGCTGGGGTAGCAATTCTCATATCAGACAAAATAGACTTCAACAAAAGAGCCATAAAGAGTGACCCAGAAGGCCACTTCATAATACTCAAGGGAAGAATACACCAAGAAGACATTAACATCATAAATATATATGCACCCAACATAGGAGCACCAAAATATATAAGGAAAATCTTAGAGGAATTCAAGAAAGATATAGACAGCAACACAATTATAGTGGGGGATTTTAACACCCCACTATCAAAAATGGACAGATCTTCCAAACAAAATATCAACAAAGACATTGCAGCATTAAACAACATCCTTGATGAAATGGACCTAACTGATATATACAGAGCTCTTCACCCCAAACAAGCTAAATATACATTCTTTTCAAATGCACATGGAACATTCTCAAAGATAGACCACATGATAGGACACAAAACAAGCCTCAACAAATTCAAGAAAATTGAAATCATACCAAGCATTTTCTCTGACCATAAGGGACTGAAACTGGAAACCAACCCCAAAGGAAAAAACCCAAAACACCCAAAATCATGGAGACTGAACGGTATGCTATTAAACAATGAATGGGTCAAGAATGAAATTAGGGAAGAAATCAAAAAGTTTCTGGAAACAAATGAAAATGATCTCACAACAACCCAAAACTTATGGGATACAGCCAAGGCAGTCCTGAGAGGGAAGTTTATAGCAATACAGGCCTACCTAAAAAAAACAGAAACATTTCAAACAAATGACCTTACTCTACGCCTGAAAGAACTCGAGGAACAACAACAAAAACAGCCCAAAGCAAGTAGAAGGAAGGAAATAACTAAGAGCAGAGCAGAACTAAATGACATAGAGACTAAAAGTACAATTCTAAAGATCAATGAATCCAGGAGTTGGTTCTTTGAAAAAATAAACAAAATAGACAAGCCTTTAAGTAGGCTCATCAAGAAAAGAAGGGAACAAACACAAATAAACACAATCAGAAATGAAAGAGGAGAGATTACAACTGATACCACAGAAATAGAAAGGATTGTAGGAAATTACTATGAAGAACTGTATGCCAAGAAATTTGAGAACCTAGGGGAAATGGACACATTTCTAGAAAAATATAATCTCCCAAAACTCAATGAACAAGAAGTAGAACACCTGAATAGACCAATAACAGCAAAAGAAATTGAAGCAGTAATCAAAAAACTCCCATCACACAAAAGCCCCGGACCAGATGGATTCACAGGAGAATTCTACAAAGCATTTAAGGAAGAGCTAACCCCCATTCTTCACAGACTATTCCAAAAAATCCAAAAGGATGGAAAACTCCCAAACTCCTTTTATGAAGCCAGCATCATCCTAATACCAAAACCAGATAGAGATACAACAAAGAAAGAAAACTTCAGGCCAATATCGCTGATGAACATAGACACTAAAATCCTCAACAAAATATTGGCAAATCGCATCCAACAATATGTCCAAAAGATTATACACCATGACCAAGTGGGATTCATCCCAGGGATGCAAGGATGGTTCAACATTCACAAAACAGTAAATGTAATTCATCACATAAACAAAAGCAATGACAAAAACCACATGATCATATCAATAGACGCAGAAAAAGCTCTCGATAAGGTACAACACCCATTTATGATAAAAACACTAAGCAAAATGGGAATAGAGGGAACATTCCTCAATATAATAAAGGCCATTTATGAGAGACCTACAGCCAATATCATATTCAATGGGCAAAAACTAAAAGCTTTTCCACTAAGATCAGGAACAAGACAAGGATGTCCACTTTCACCACTTCTATTCAATATAGTATTAGAAGTTTTGGCCACAGCGATCAGGCAGGAAAAGGAAATAAAAGGCATCCAAATAGGAAAGGAGGAAACAAAACTGTCACTGTTTGCAGATGACATGATAGTGTACATGGAAAATCCTATAGACTCTACCCAAAAACTGCTCAAACTAATTAATGAATTTGGCAAAACAGCAGGATACAAAGTCAATATCCAGAAATCAAAGGCATTTTTGTACACTAAGAATGAATAGGCAGAAGCAGAAATCAAGGAAAAAATCCCATTCAATATAGAAAAAAAATATCTGGGAATAAACCTAACCAAAGAGGTAAAAGACCTGTATGCAGAAAACTACACAGCACTGAAGAAAGAAATCAGGGAAGACACAAACAAATGGAAACATATACCGTGTTCATGGATTGGAAGAATTAACATCATCAAAATGTCCATATTACCCAAAGCAATATACAGATTCAATGCAATACGTATTAAAGTACCAATGGCGTATTTCACAGACATAGAACAAACACTTCAAAAATTTATATGGAATCATAAACAAGCCCGAATAGCAGCTGCTCTTTTGAGAAAGAAGAACAAAGTAGGAGGGATCACAATACCTGATATCAAACTGTATTACAAGGCCACTGTAATCAAAACAGTCTGGTACTGGCATAAAAACAGGCACATAGACCAATGGAACAGAACAGAGAGCCCAGAAATCAACCCAACTCTCTACAGTCAATTAATATTAGACGAAGGGGGCAGTAACATAAAAGGGAGTAAAGATAGCCTCTTCAACAAACGGTGCTGGGAGAACTGGACAGCTACATGCAAAAAAATGAAACTTCAGCACAGACTTACACCATACACCAAAATAAATTCAAGGTGGATAAAAGACTGAAATATAAGCCGTGACACCATTAAAGTTCTAGAGGAGAACATTGGCAGGAAAATCTCAGATATTTCACAGAGCAACCTTTTTACTGATATGTCCCCTAGAGCAAGGAATATAAAGGAAACAATAAACAAATGGGATCTCATCAAAATAAAAAGCTTCTGCGTGGCTAAAGAAAACAGTATTAAATTAAAAAGACAACCAACTGTATGGGAAAACATATTTGCCAATGATACCTCAGACAAAGTTTTAATCTCCAAAATACACAAAGAACTTACATGACTCCACTCTAGGAAGACATCGAACCCAATTAAAAAATGGGAAAAGGACTTGAACAGACACTTCTCTAAAGAGGACATACAGAAGGTCTAGAGACACATGAAGAGATGCTCAATATCGTTAGCTATCAGAGAGATGCAAATTAAAACCACAATGAGATACCACTTTACACCAGTCAGGATGGCTATCATAGACAAAGCAACAAACAACAAATGTTGGAGAGGG